CTGGGAGACGGAGGTTGCAGTGAGCTGAGATTGCGCCACTGCACTCCAGCCTGGGCGACAGAGCAAGACTCTGTCTCAGGGGAAAAAAAAGAAAAGTTATTTCAACATTAGTACTCCTCTCTATTTATTTATTTATTTTGGAGAGGCACAGTCTCACCATGTTGCCCAGGCTGCCCTTTAACTCCTGGCCTCAGCCATCCCCCCACGGCACTAGGATTCCAAGCGCCCACCACTGTGCGCAGCCTGCCTCATTAAAAAAGAAAAAATGTCACATGTGCCAGGTGCAGTGGCTCACACCTGTAATCCCAGCCCTCTGGGAGGCTGAGGTGGGAGAATCATTTGAGCCCAGGAGTTTGAGACCGGCCTGGACAGTTAGCAAAACCCTATCTCTCTAAAAAACTAGCTGGGCAGGTCGGGCACAGTGGCTCATGCCTGTAATCCCAGCACTTTGGGAGGCTGCGGCAGGCGGATCACCTGAGGTCAGGAGTGTGAGGCCAGCCTGGCCAACATGGTGAAACCCAGTCTCTACTAAAAATACAAAAATTAGCTGGGCGTGGTGGCGGGTGCCTGTAATCCCCGCTACTCGGGAGGCTGAGGCAGGAGAATCGCTTGAGCCTGGGAGGCTGAGACTGCAGTGAGCGAGATTGCTTCATTGCACTCCAGTCTGGGGGACACAGTGAGACTCCGTCCAACCCTCAGGAAACATACAAAGCTGAAGCCACATTCCGGCATCACAAGGCGCACGGGTTGGGCGCCTGTAGCTGGCATCTCTTCTTTTCTTACAGGCACAGAAAGTAGCGGGCTGTCTAGGAGGGCGGGGCTCCAATCCACCCATCAGCTGTGGAGGGGTTTGAAGGCTGCTGACGGTGGCCGTGGTGCAGGACAGCACCCGGGGTGCAGGCTGGGCTGAGGGGCAGGAGGATGACGCCCAGGGCCCTCCTCTGAGGGCATAGGCCCCACTGGGAAGGCGAGTTTTGGTGAACAGCTAGGCTTCCGAGGGTATCGGAGGATGGGAGTTTAAGGAGACACCAAAGCACCCACAGCCTCGGGCGACCTGCCTGCCACAGTGTGCACAACAGGGACGGTCACCCTTTTGTTTGCAGGGAAAGGAGCTCAGGGAGCTGAGAGCTGCCTCCAGCTTCTCATGAGGACAAATGAGCCTGGGGTCCCATCCTGTGGGTGCGGGACCAGCACCAGGCAGGAGCAGTGGAGCTCAGAGCCCACAGCTGTTCCCACGCACACACCCTATGCTCCCCGCAGCCACTCCAGGATGGCTTCTCTCGTGGACGAGGGAGACCCACAGAGGGTCCTCGGTGTGGCCTGGCACATCTGGACTGCCCACATCCTGGTCGCAGGTGCTGGCTCCCGGGGCAAAGCCAGGCCCAGCAGCCTTATTTCCTGGGGCCCAGGTGGCAGCCTGCACCCTCCCGGCCCCAGAACCCGCTGGCATCACTCACCGTGAGCATCTTCAGGTCCGCCCGCTCCGCTGGGTTCTTGATGAGGCTGGGGGTTCCAAGAGGCAGGACCGGGAGGCAGTAGGGGAGACAAGATAGGGCAGTTAGCTGGTGGCCCCAGGGCACCTGCGTTTTGGGCTTTGGGCTGTGGCCGGGGGAGGCCTGGATCTGTGGCACAGACCTGCCTGCTCTGCTCTGCCGCCTGGCAGCGGACGAGGGCTCCACCTCTGCCCTTTGGTGCCAGGGGCAGGACACCCCTGTGGGGAGAGTGAGAGGGCGGGAAACCCCGCCTGGTGGGTCAGAAGCCTGGACACAACCCTAGCTAACTTTCTAATAAAAACCTTCTTCAGACACAGAGCAGCCCCGTGTGTGGGTCAGATGCTGTCCCCGGCCTGCCGGAGGACACGTCAAGGGCCCAGGACAACTTTAGCACCAGGAGTGCGGTGCCATTTCACAGCGCCCCCAGCTCAGACACACGGACCGGCCCTATGGGCAAGTGGGTGTCCCCAGCTCCTCCCCCGTGGTCTGTGGCCCATGCCTGAGGCCCACGCCACAGATGCTGCTGGGTGCTTGGGGGCAGGAGAATGGAGAGGGGTTGGCAATCCTCCTAGAACCTGCAGGCGGGCCTCGGGGAGCCCATGGCCAGCACATCAGGGGTCCGCGGACCAGGCAGAGGCTTCCCCGGCTGCAGACGGTGAAGCAGGGACACCGTCATGTCCACAGGGCCTGCAATCCTGCTTCACCCCCAGGCTCGGGGACAGGATGGCATGGCAGCCAGGAGCTGCAGCGCCACAGCCCTGGGAAAGGGAATCTGGCTTCCTGTTGGGCTCAGAGTCCTGCGTGACCCTGCACTGGGATTCTGGATGGGCAGGCTGGAAGGAGTGGCACATCTGGGTCCTGGCCAGGGGTGCGGGCGGCCCGGCTCCACCTACCATTTATTGACAAACTCCTGGAAGTCGGGGGTGAACACACCGTTGGGCAGCTTAGGAGGCGGCTGTGGAGGAGAACAGAGGGTGGGGTCAGCCCTGGGCGTCTTCAGGGACCCTTGGCTGTAGCCCTCCCAACCCCTGCCTGTCCTGTCCGGTCACCCACCCTGCAGGCCTGGCCGACACCACATGCCAGCTGAGCTGCACCCTGTGAGAGCTGGCCTTCTCCCGGAACTTCTCGTTTGAGAGTCATGGCTGGTTGGAGGGAAGGAGAGAGGGGTGCACCCCCCTTTTATAAGCAGGACAACCCCTCGAGCATCATCACTTGCTTCCTTCCCCAGTGATGCTGGCTGAAGGATGAGCTTTGGGACTGGGCCCCACAGAGGAACAGCTGGGTCCAAAGTTCTTTGGTTTTGAGACAGAGTCTCGCTCTGTCGCCCAGGCTGGAGCATAATGGAGTGATCTTGGCTCACTGCAGCCTCCGCCTCCAGGGTTCCAGCGATTCTCCGGTCTCAGCCTCCCGAGTAGCTGGGATTACAGGTGCCCGCCACTGCACCTGGCTAATTTTTGTATTTTTAGTAGAGACAGTATTTTTTACCAGGTTGGCCAGGCTGGTCTCGAACTCCTGACCTCAGGTGATCCACCCGCTGTGGCCTCCTAAAGTGCTAGAATTACACACCTGAGCCACCGTGCCCAACCAAACGGGGTCCAAAATTTTAAGCCCAAGCACTGGGGAGCCCGGCCCAGCACACACGTCCCTGGAGGGGGAGCGGCCGTGGAAGTGCTGCCAGCAGTGCAGGGTCAGGCCTCTCCTGCGCAGGGGTGGGAAGAGGCAGGGGAGCAGTGGGGGGATGTGTGCACCAGGCCTGGGTGTGGCTGCCAGGTGCAGGGAGAGCTGGGTCACCAGGGCCACCCCACCTGGCCCTGTCATCATCTCGCCACCCAACCCCAGGCCTAGCCCAGTCTGCAGGCAGCTTAGATGCCTGTTTCTCTGCCCCAGCTCCAAAGAGCTGCCAAAGACACAGAAGCCCACAGAAGGCTCAGGGAGGTGGCCCGGCCTGGTCATGTGGCCAGCAGGACCTTGGGGTGCAGTCCTGTGCCTCCCTGACAGCTGCAGGCCTGGGAGGAGGCCAAGCCCCTTCTTGTGCCTTGGTTTACTCATCTGGGCGGTGGAAACCCTCACACTTGGCTCACGAGGTGGTTACGGGGACTGACGGAACAGGAGCCACCCCAGGACCTATAGGTCCTTCTAGGCTCTCTGGCCTCCTTCCAAGAGGCAAGGGCCACGCCTGTCCCTTTCTCCGTGGAAGTGGGGTGATTTATGAGTCCACACCCATGGGCTCCTGGACGCTCTAATGCAGAGACACTGGACCACCGCTCAAGCAGTAGGCTGGCTCCTTGGCCTGAGCCCGGGGCTGCTGGCATGTACCTCCCGCTAGACTCAGGGCGAGAGGCTGTGGCGGGAATTCTGGGTGCGTCTTCATAAAAACACAAGGCCCTTGGGAAGGAGCTGGGCTTGTGCAGCACAATGGAAGACGGGAGATGCGACGCACGTGGAATTGGTTCAAGAATCACTTGAACCTGGGAGGCGGAGGTTGCAGTGAGCCGAGATCAAGCCACTGCACTACAAAGCTAGACTTTGTCTCAAAAAAAAAGAAAAAAATAGCTGGGTGTGGTGGTGCGCACCTGTAATCTCAGCTACTCGGGAGGCTGAGGCATGAGAATCACCTGAGCTTGGAAAGTGGAGGTTTCAGTGAGCCGAGATGGCATCACTGTACTCCAGCCTGGGTGACTTTTTTTTTTTTTTTTTGAGGCGGAGTCTCGCTCTGTCGCCCAGGCTGGAGTGCAGTGGCGCAATCTCCGCTCACTGCAAGCTCCACTTCCTGTGTTCACGCCATTCTCCTGCCTCAGCCTCCCGAGTAGCTGGGACTACAGGTGCCTGCCACCGCGCCCAGCTAATTTTTTGTATTTTTAGTAGAGACGGGGTTTCACTGTGTTAGCCAGGATGGTCTCGATCTCCTGACCTCATGATCTGCACGCCTCAGCCTCCCAAAGTGCTGGGATTACAGGCGTGAGCCACCGCGCCCGGCCCAGCCTGGGTGACTCTTGCTCTACTCAAGAGAGAGATTTTGCTTCCAAAAAGAAAAAAGAAAAGAAAAGCCAAAAGGCGTCGAGCACAAACCTCATTCACAATATAGTCCAGCAGTTCGAAGATGGCCATGGCGGGCCGGCTATCCATCCCGTGACCTGCACAGGGAGAGAGATGGAGGTCAGAGGGGCCAGTGGCCACCTCACTACTTCTGGGGGTTGGGCTCCCAGGGGGCTGATCACCACCGGGCACCCTCCTCCCCACGATAGCCTAAATCGGAGGTGGGTGTGCAGAGGCACAGGACAAAGCTCCTCTGCCTGACGCTGCGTTCCATTCCCCGGGATGCCTGAGCCTCTAGTGAATTAAAAAAACGGCAAAAGGAACATGAACATTTTTTGAGAAGTCACACATTTGGCTCGGTGAGGCTTGCCGGACGTGCCAAAGTCATCACCCTCCTCTCTGGCGGGCAGGGGGAGGGACGGTGCTGACCGCAGGCAAGGACAGCAGTGTGACCTTGCATGGAGCTGCTGGCGGTGATGGTAGCAGGCCCCAAGTGCCATTCAGGGCGGGAGACTGGCTAGGGGTGGCTGACCCGTCTGAGAACCAGCTGGCCAGGCCTGGGCTTGGCCGCTGGACTTTCACCTTCCGCCTGTCCCAAAATGGGCAGGCGGGCTGGGGCCCTGGGCTGGGGGCAGGGCTGGGGACGGTGTACCACCTGGCAGGGGCTGAGGCCAGGCCTGAGGATAAGGACTTGGGGGACTCTCCCTGGGACGAGATCAAGACATCCCAGCAGTCTGGCTGGAGGGGAGGGCTTGGGTTTGCCAGTGCTGTGAAAATCACCTTCTCACAGCCCCAGCCCGGCCAGGGTAGAAGGACCACAAAACGTGGCCTGCTCGTGTCATAAAATACCACTCAGCCTTTCAAAAGGAGCCAGGCTCTGACACGCACCACAGCGTGGAGGACCCTCAAGGACACCGCTCTGGGAGAGAAGCCACACACAAAACACAGAAGGCCACACAGTGTGTGATCCCGTTTCTGTGAAATGCCCAGGACGGGCCAGTTCACAGAGGCAGGAAGGGGACGGAGAGTGACGGCTGATGGGGACAGGGTTTCCTCTTGGGAAGCTGAGAAGGTTCTGGAATTAGAGGTGATGGGGCGCAGCACTGTGACTGAAAACCACTGAAATGAGTGCGTTGTGGGGGGTGCTTCAGTTCGGAAACGTGGTTTTAAAACCAACCAGAGTCCGCTACAGGGTCCTTTGGGGTCTAACTCCACTAACTCTCCCTGATGTCTGACTTCAAAAAAAATCACAGGACCCTCCCGTGACTCTGCACCAAGCAGGGTCGGCCCCGGTTCCTCCCTCAGGCGGTGGAAGTGTCCGCTCAGGCGTCTCTGGCTGGCGTCTGGGAGCTCCCGCTCCCGAGGTACCCGCCCTAAGCGTCGGATTGTCCTCTGCGAGCCCAGCTGTCCCTGGGGCCTGAGCCCTCCCACCCCCTCCCGGGCTGCGTCCCCTCCTGTGTGTGTTGGGGCCGGAGCCAGCAGGCCACTGAGGGCCATGCCAAGTCAGATCTCCACTTCGGGGCTCCCTGGAAGGCTTGGCCTGCACACAGGAGCGTGTCACCTGCAGAATCCAGGCTCTGCAGTGGCCAGTTTCTTCCACTTTTCTGTACGTCTGAAGGCGTTCAGGATAAAATGTTGGAAAATCTAACTGCCCAGGGGCTTGGCGGCAAAGCTGCGCTCCCAGATCCCGCCAGCTGGCAACAACAGGTGCAACTGCCTGGACAGAACAGGTTTGGGGCACTCACTGCTTCCAGCTCTGTCCCGGGAAACCCCAGGACCATCTGAGGACTGCTGACCACAGTCGGCACCATCCAGGGGGACAGGTGGTGCGACAGGGGTAGAGGAGAGGCAGCTGCTGGCCCAGGCACAGCAGGCCCCGCACAGGGTACTGCGCGTCCGGACCGGAAGTTGCAGACGCAGGCCGTACCGCTGATGGGGCGCCCGGGGGGTCTCGGCCGAGGCGAGATGCTGTGAGGCTCTCCTTCTTCCCCGTCGACCACTGGCCGGCCAAAGATGGCCTCCAGCTCCTTGGCGTCGGGCGGGGGGATGGGGTACCTTCCGATGGCCAGCTCCACCAGGGACAGGCCCATGCTCCAGACGTCCGACTGCACCGAGTAATGTGTGCCCTGCAACCGCTCCGGCTGCAGCAGAGGCGGGAAGGAAAGAGCCCAGAGGGGCGAAGATGGCAGCTGGAACCCGGGAGGCTTGCCCCATTACAGCTCCAGTCACCCTCTCCATGGCTAATGACCACAGCAATGGACGGAGAGCTGTTAAGCAATTCTACCTCCCGGCTCAGCAACCCAGGGCCTCCCTGCAGCACTTGCTGAAGAGGCTCCAGCCGGACGCCTGGAGCTGGTGTGGACCGCAGCTCTCGAAGAGCCCACAATGCTCAGCGCTTTTGGGAATGGACGATCGGCCCCAGGAAGCAGGGGCCTCCTTCTCCACGGCCAACATCCAGAGCCTGCTCCAAGGCTCAATTTGGCAGGCTGCTGAATCCCCAGTCATTTCCTAAAAGACCCCAGAGTCCAATTTCTTGGTCCAGAAATGAAGTAAGGGCCGGGTGTGGTGGCCCATGCCTGTAATCCCAGCACTTTGGGAGGTTGAGGTGGGACCCCAGGAGTTAAGACTAGGCTAGCCCATATGGCGAGACCCCGTCTCTACCAAAAGCATTTTTTAAAAAATCAGCCAAGGCTGCCGGGTGCAGTGGCTCCCACCTGTAATCCCAGCACTTTGGGAGGCCGAGACGGGCGGATCACGAGGTCAGGAGATCGAGACCATCCTGGCTAACACGGTGAAACCCCGT